TGCTACTCGAGACGATATATACAACGAGTCAAAGGTGTGTGAAAACATTGACTACTAGCAATGCGATAAAGAGAATACACTAAAACTATGTATGTGGCTCTCGTTTTTATCAGTGCATTCAACTTCAAAAAAGATTACCAACAAAATAATTGAGAACGAGACCATTTGGAAATTTCAAATAAATTACAAAGTAGGTTCATTAAGAGCCTTTCCAGTATTTAGAAAGGTAGGTTTCGAAACCGTGGGGTAGGATTTTTTTAGATCTACCCTCTCTATGTGCACGTGAGAGTGAAACCACTTGAATATTTGAGCAGTGTTATGTAGACGGGTATGAGAACATTGCGATACAACGTATTAATTTGCTAGCATATAAAGTACAAGTACGAAAACCTTTCGGTAGCAAAGCCGGATTAGGGTTGTACAAGGCCTTGGATCAACATCCCACTCTCGCCAAAGAAAATGAAGAAATAAAAGAACATAAAGATCTCTACCATTTCACTGCGTTGTGGAGTCCCTGTTCCGTTTACGCCTACTTTAATCAGGCCCAATTCGAGACCATCACTTAATGTCAAACTAGTAAGATATTTTGTTTGGGAGCTACTGTCAAAATGATGCATTCATAAATTCAAATCCCCATAGTCTTTTTTTACCATAGAGTTAATTAAACTTGCTACCACAATTAACGGACAGTCTTCATGCTATTTTTGTGAAAATCGAAACATACAGCAAACAACCCTTTTCACAACAGATAGTGTACTTGAGAAACTATAGGCTGTTGAATAGGCGTGCGATACGGAGTGAACTTTTCTACCTGTTCCAGAAACGACCTGTCATAATCATACAATAACGATAGGCGCAATGAGCACAACCCCTAAGTGAACCTGACAACCGATCTAAATGCCTGCTCGTTTGGCCAGACAAGAATGTTTGCTGATCCATTCGTACTACTGCTTTTTGTCATCAGCAAGAAGCAACAAATTAAATAACGGTTACGTCCATCTCTTTTCCGAGGTGCATATGGGGTAGAGCCAGTAATTTTATCCAATGATGTTGGAAGTGATGGTGGCAATGCGGTTTTTAAACAATTATTATGCCTGATAACTTAATATTAAACTTAAGATTGAATAAATAAAAACGTATGACGTTCCCTGACGCCTACTGTATTTGATAACTCAGTGAGCGTTATCATTTGGTAAGGAGCAGTTATATACGTCCTGGGGTTCTGCATTAATGTCTTATTGTTTCAAATCCATCTTGAGATCAAAACACGTAACCTAAAAACAGGCGGTGCCGTTAAATGTACAGGTCTAGCAAATCACACCTCATTAGTCTCCAGCCTGAGTTTCTACCTATAAACCTATCCAAACTCCATACACTTGCTACGTTACAAAGATATGACGAAATCGCATCAAAAGTGTGATGGTAGTTGGACACACTAGGTAAAAAGTATAATGGCAAAGTGAAAAGGATTTTTATCCATCATTATCTTAATTATCCAAGCCGAGGCGTAAACAGTCGTCATTTTGACTAGTAGGGTTTTGAAAATGGCAACAAGATATTTATTTAACAGATAGTTTCCTAAGGACAGCCTGGAACATTACAGGCATGTAGGCACAAACAGATTTCGTACCGGCGTGTTCTCAAGTGTAGGGTTGAAACAATATCGTAGCGGGATCGATACCGTAATGGATCTTGGGAAATATATTATGCTGAACTATCTTTTTGTATGACAGGTGATGGCTAGGTTTATATTCTAAAAAATTGTCGTGCTGGCATAGAGTGTGGGTTTTTGTTGTCCTCCTTTGGTGGCACTCACAATTAAGTATATACTTTTGAGAGAGTGACGTATGTAAGATGAAGTTTGCATTTAAAAATGGACAGTTGAGAGAATGTTGGCATACCTCTATGCTAAATGTACTACTTTCAAGTAATGTGGCTGATTTTTCTTTGGATTTTGAACTTTTGAAATTGTAAATTATCTTAACACACTGCTAGCTAAAATGACTGCTCCCTTTTGCTCCAAACATCAACCTGAATTTCTCTAAAGTACACTATCCTTGGCACTTATTAAAATAGTAAAAGTGAAGTGAATTTTGCCAGACTAGACAATACCAGCTTCTGAAAGTGCAATGAATGAATTACCTAATATATAAAATGAATTTTAAAAAAAAAACGTTATTGGCTCTGTTCTTACAATTTACCTATAAAGTCCGGGAAGTGATAATGAATAAGTGGAGCTAGCATATTTTTAAAGATGCACATCTGGAGTTAGGCCAAGCAGCATAGTCTATAACCCATATTACACCCATCAATCATACACCAAAATAAAGGGAATTAAAGAATTTTTGAACAATACCCAAGACATGAAAAATCCTTTTTTAAATAGCCAGTATAACTAGTGAGAAAACCCGGTGAAATTAGATTTTTTTAAAGTCTAACCCTATGAACAATAGAAAACTGTAAAGCGCCACCTCTTTCATCAGGTTGGTTTATATGCCTGGCTTGTCGTCTGGCCGATATGGATCACGTGGCTTGATCATGCCTCCGTGGGAATGGTGTGGGTGTCTGTCTAAAAGACCAAATGGCTGCCTTATAGCCGGTGTTTACCGCGGGCACCTTGGTGCCCGTATGGGTCGCCCATATTGATATCTGGGAGTTGGATGCCTTTCTTTGGCCTTGATTACCGATTCGATCATATATTTGCTGTCGGTGATAATACACAAATTACCATGGCCCTCGTTCACTCCGTGTTATGAATTTTTGATCGTGTAGCAAGAACCGTATGAAAAATTGTCGCTGGCCGTTCCTGACTGGAACAGCTCTCGCTGACATCACTACTATCTATTGCTACGTATGCCACAGTACATTGCATTTCTCTACTTATAATTTGTGATCATCACTTGGATATGTCTAGCATATTCTCTGGCCTTAAAGCGACTCTAATAGAGGCGTCTGAAACTTTAGGTGACTTGCGGCTTGAGTGAACTTTAATATACAGCTGGCTAAGGATCTTTTTAGACTGCGTTCCTGACTTTTATTCTTTGTAGCGCTCAACTTGACGGATATCATAGATACAAAATATTCTATGCAATAAATGTTATACACTGACGCATGTAACGATACATTATTAAAACAATAAAACAATCGTAATGAAGGGTTTCAGATTTGTGATATTAATGTATTAAAATTACAATAAACACAAATACAATTAATGCGAAGGTATCCATACAGTTAGCCCATTGTTCATCTCTACGTGTTTAAAAGAAATTGGTAAATGACCATACTGCCTTTACCACTGGCAATTTTGCAGCAATATTGACTGACTGTACAAATTAAGATCTTTACATAAAAAATACATGCTAATGCTCGTTCTTGCAACACGTGCAGCACAACATATCACGTATTGTGTACCTAAAAAAACAACCATTTACATGGCATTATCTATACTGTATAATTTAAGTAAGATAACTAAGGAACTTATTCAATTAAAATAATGAATATATTCAATTATAGTAAGGTATATATTCAATTATAGTAAGGAATATATTCAATTGTAATAAGGAACATATTCGATTATAATAAGGAACAAAGCTGAGATAAAAAATGCTCCAGATTAAGTAGAAAATGATTAGGAGAGATAAACAAACAAGAATGTGACGAATTATCAACAATTGTTATAATTAAATAATTGGAATTCAGATTTATAACAGAAATAAGCATGATACGGTATTCGTGTTCTTTAGCTCAATTTAATGCTCGATTTGACAAATGGCTACACTCTTTTACAAACAGATAAAACTCTACCACATAGAAAATAACCACTTAATCACAAGACATCAAAGATTTGTGATAAATCCAATTTAAAATCGGACATAACATCACTTATATAGGACAGGATGGATGGCAACGGATCAATATAGGATTTGAGGAAGTCACGTTCACCTTCTCCAGAAGCTAAGTAAGGAGTTACAGAATGGACTAGACACAATTTAAGGAGATTTAAGAGATACTTGCTATTGCCAGCTCGGTTAAATAAACAGGTCATGCATGCAGTAATAACTCTGATGGCCAAATTTTTGTCATGTTTGCGGTAACAGTTCTGAGGACCAAATTTCTACACATTGATCACTTGAATGAATGGCGGACAGAGTTACAGGGAACTATATTACATCTTGTCTATTTTAAAATAAATATTTTCCATTCTACTAGTTCAACAAAGAAATTATTAAGATATCACGATTTCCTCGCAAGACTCTTACAAAACCTGCGTATAATTGAAGAACATATTTTTCTTGCATGGTCTTATATAATCTCTATGTGAGTACCAAATCGACGGAATCAGAACCACTAAAAATTTAAATGAATTGTCCCTTGTAAATACATTGGTCGTACATTTTTTAAATTTAGTATCCAACCAGTGGATAGGGCTGTCTTGATATATCCACAGTCGTAACAAATCCGCAGTATAAATGTACTCATTAGAAGCATGATATGTTGGAAAGACCTCTATTCAAATAATGCTTGGGGAACGTTACCAAAATGGTTGGCCTTGGCAATGGGCCTTGATTTATGAATGAATTTAACACGTATTGTACGTGTTCTTTTACTATAATGCAAGCCAGCCAATGGATTGATAGAATTAAAATATAAATGTTATAAACCCAACTGACCTCAATAAAACTATATTATAAATCGATATATTTATAAAGATATTCGTAACAATATATGTATTATTCATTATATGATACATTTTGTATCATAACTGTACGTATGTTCCTTTAGAATATTGTCTAAATGAAAACATAAAATGTTCAATTGAAAGAGGATATGGAATTTGACGTATTTTGAAAAGTCTTCTGCAAAACCTCGCTATGAGTCTTATAATGTTTTGACAAGCTATTATTTTCAAAAGTTGCCATTAAGTAGCAGAAATGTGCTCAGCGCAAGATATATACACCGTTGTTCATGTCTGCATAGATATCAATATATGTTGGATTTACCGATCTGTGGTCTAGTGGTTAGAACGTCCGCCTCGGATGTGGGAGGTCGCGGGTTCGATCCCAGGTCGAGTCATACCAAAGATTTATAAAAATGATACTAACAGCTATCACGCTTGACGCTCAGCATTAAGAGGTTAGTATTAGGACTGGTCGGCCTGATGTCAGGATAATGTGACTTGGTGGGACATCATGCTACATGTTTGTTGGCATGAAGCCCCAATGCTGGACATCACTATACACTGCAACGCTGCTGACATAGTAGCGATATGATTGAAACATTTGTAAAGCTTCGTTAAAACTCCAAATCACACACATATACATACACATACACACATACACTGTCGGGCACCCAAAAGTAAAATATTACGTCCTCTAAAAATTTAAATTATATTGACATCTTCTCTGTTCACATATTCACAGAGAGAGAAATGATTAACCTACATAATGTAGCTGGTATCAATATATAAACACAGTACGACAACCTTAATGTGGATGTTACCAATGACTAATAGTACGACAACTTGCTTAATGCAGCTGGTACCAATGTACGACAACCTGCTTTATACCTTGTATACCGAATGACTTCAACAATCCTATCAGAAGGTTCTTGTCCTAATCTGCTTGTTTGTAGCCAGTTTATATAAACCATCTTTGTGAAATAATGTTTTGAGTGCTTGGTCTACAGTGTTGTTTACTATTTCTCATTCTGAATTGTAATAAATTTCGTTGTGAATTGTCGTAAATTTTATTTTGAACTGCTGCACTATAAAACGTCTCCTTTAAAAGATCGCTTCTACAAACTGTGGGTAATGTTGATAAAACTTTATGTTACAGATAGCAGACTAATAATTCTCTATTTATCAATCGTTCTTTCTATCTTTCTTTAATTTATTTTTTTTTTTTGCTCTTCCAGGAACAACCCAACAACAGAACATCTAAAAACTTAATTATTAAACCACCAATATAGCTACATCACGTCACGTCAAAAATAATTATGACAAGAAATCAATAGCATTCCAATATAAATATGCCATAAAATCAATAGAATCCAAAATTAATATGCCAAGAAATAAATAGAATCCAAATATTACTATATTGAAATGGATAACACCAATGTTAAATATTATAATCTGTTCCAAATTTAGTAATATAAAAAGCTGTTACTAACTCAACCATGGTCGTGCTAAGTGAAAATGTACACAGCCAAGAGCACTTACTGCTTTGCCAAACACACCGTCACCGTTAGGCAGAAACCAATTTATTGACTAAAAAATTAAAGTTCACTCATCACCTCAAATCAGTGAAATATTAATTATGTCGAAATTTAAAATAACTTAAGAAGCTAAATACTGTTTAGTTATTCGAGTTGTTCCGAGTTGTGCATGATCATTTATAGTTCACACTAGTATAATAAAAAATATCCGCATTGTTCACACTCGCATAATCCAATATTCTTATTTATCACACTCATCTATTCAAATATTCGAATTATTCATATGATCAAATTTTCAAATCTAGTATTTTCAATATCCTCACTTTAATAACCATCTTGTGCAGAGCGGCCTTCCTTTATGCAGAAACATTCTTGTCAGTAAATCATCCAACAAACCCTATCTGATTTTAACGATCAATGGCTAGGAAATATAACGGCATAACACGTGATCGTAAAATATAAACTTCGTCCATACTGAGTCTTGAAATATTTTCGAGTAATTTTTTTGTTATTTCACACTATAAATACAGTTCTTGGCTTACCAAAAGTGTACATATATGAATAAGTTCTATGCAAAACCATTTATATGTCACCTCTGCGTTTCTTCGTTTCAGAAAATCTAAAGACAGCGGAACTGGAAGAAAGCAGCTCTTGGTTATAATTTTAGTTTTTAAATAGAATTATGTTTGAGATATCTGATGGGCAGATATTTCAATAAAGTCCATCAAAGAGCAAAAATCTGAAACTATCACCTCAGGATCATTTGAGATGATAGGCAGATAATTGGTAAGTAAGTGTGTACTTTACCTTGATCATAGCATGACGTTTTCATCTACAGTGTAGTTTTCTTTCATTAATTTCACATGCTTTAAATAGTTACAGTGTTTGGTCTTGGTTATTGCAGTGTACCATTGACTCTGCTTACAACGAGAAACCAACCTTTAAAAAGTTGTTTTGTTTTATGAGAATCTTATTTTGTATTCTTTCTCAAATCATCTACTCCACGTTTCATAATCGTTCACAAATTGAATACGATTATTATTATTAAGTAAACAGTGTCGACAGTTTATTAATTTCTTTATATATCAATTCCTGTGGTATTTGACACAGGTTGTCTGTCATACCAACCTTTTGACTATATAGCCCATAATTGCGCCTCAATCTCTCAGTCTCAGATACAGAGTATTCGATTGCATTTTCATGTGCATGTGTGTCATTTTGATAAATTTATTAATATAGTACTAAACTGTTAACACACCAACACCTAAATTTTGTTTTCTGGCCGCCGTGGGGCCCTAGGCACGCGCCTCGCGTGCTTATCCCTTAAAACGGTTCCTCCGGTTAGTCTAAGGTCGAATGGTTCTTCGTTTACAAGTAGGTAAGTAACTGTTATATTTATCACCAATCGGAAACTTAACCGTCATATGCCCACGTGGTAATTCTTAATCCAATGGGCACAAATATAGCGGAGGGACAATCTAGTACAGAGCTGTAATATACATTTTATTACCCTTTTGTTAGTATACATTTTATCAATCTCTTCGCGTGTGTGCATGTGTGTTATATTTCAATATTTTATGAAAACTTCTCTGCGAGTTCTTGTTTTAAAACACTCTTACAAGTTAATGACTTGTATATATATATATATATATATATATATATATATATATATATATATATATATATATATATATATATATATATATATATATATATATATATATATATATCCATCCCTTTCTGTCTTTATATAAACTTCAATTGTACGTGACTTTGTGTAAGGAAACTGATCCTTGCATTGCTATTGGTGCTGGCTACATAGTTTAAAGTATAATATCAGGGTTTTTTTTGATTGTGCAATTATTCCTTCACTTGTGTATCTGTCTGTCTGTATGTCTGTCAAACCTGTTGTTATATGATATCACTTTCTGTTCCTGTCTTTTTCTCCCTTTTCTCCCTCTTTTAAAAGACCATACCTTTAAGTTATAAAACTGAAGTTTTACTTTCTTTTTTAGCACTGTATGGCTACGAATTTACCGCCTATATTACGGTCAAGCAGCTTTCTGTTTCCTTCGTTGGGGTTTATACAATATTTCCTGATGACATTCCCATGAGTATAAATCAGACCTTCTGTAGTAGTATTCGTAGTTTGTGTAAATACTGTCTTTACCAGGATCTAATAGTACTCATATAATGAACTCAGTTTCGTTTATTCTTCAACAAGACCAGACATGTAGTCCAGCCTTACACATATGTAACAGTGGGAGCTTTTTACGGTTAATATAACTTGGCGCAAACATACTAGTGAATAAAATATAACTATTGATTCCAATATAACTATTGATTACAATATAACTATTGATTATAATATAACTATTGATTCTAATATAACTATTGATTCCAATAACACTTTTGATTCCTAATAACACTATTGATTCCAGTATAACTATTGATTCCAATAACACTATTGATTCCAGTATAACTATTGATTCCAATAACACTATTGATTACAATATAACTTTTGATTACAATATAACTATTGATTATAATAAAACTATTGATTATAATATAACTATTGATTCCAATAACACTATTGATTCCAATAACACTATTGATTACAATATAACTATTGATTAAAATATAACTATTGATTATTGATTACAATAAAATTGTTGATAGCTGTGAGACTAATACAGTATATTCAAACGCATACTGCTCATATCCCTTTCTCGGAACTTAAAAGCATTAAATTATTTCATTTCTCTTTTCGTCATTCACCTGCGTTGATATCAAACCTTCTATAGATAATTTTGTAGACTGTCGCTGTCTTTTAAGTTTGAAATTGAGATAACATATTTTTGGTAATGAAATATTTCTTTTTAAAACTGCCTATCGTATGTTCTAAATCGAATTCAAGTACCTGTATTTCCAATTGCGAAACCAATGACTATGTAATAATAGGTCGAAATAATCTAGTCTTCAGGTCACAACTACATAGCTTTGAAGTTCCATTATATGAGTCAAACTCATTTTCCTCATGTATCCTTGTTTACTTTGCCCTCACAACGATTAAATTGAAGAGAACAATCTTAAATGCTTATGTAATTCGATTTAAGACGATTTTTATTTGCTTCATATTGCTACTAATATTTTTATCCTAATAAAAATGGTTCGAACGAACGAATAATATAAACATTTGTTCATTATCATACGTATACAGAATGACTAAGAACTTGATCGTTAATCAAGGATAAGAGAGAGGAGCCTCCTGGTGAGAACAGCAGTAAACAAAACAATAGTACTTATCTCAAGTTCTAGTGAACACAGGAGTAGAGAATAGTACTTGCATCATTTTAGACTAATTAAAATAGAAATTTAGAGTCATATTGTGAATGAATGCGCATTGAAATAACTTCTCCAGTTGATCTGTAAATGATGGAATTTGTTTTACTGTTAATTCAACTCTATTCTACTTGTGACGAGATCGATTTATTGGGCCATTTACATATGATGTACAATCAACTGCTCCCGTGTTTGTTTTCCGTAAAGTGTTTGGAATTATAATTTATGGAAAGTATGAATGTTTTAATTTAAATTATAAAGAAAGTACATTCTGAGGAAATTCAAGATGCATAAATATAAGTATTGTCACCCTTATCAGCTAAAGAAGATGCATGTTAATTCCTTATCACTTTCATGCTCTTTGTTTGAAGGACCCCAGCTATGACCAGTGTGGCCTCCATCGCTTGCTTAACATTATATAAAAAAATAGTTAAATGGGGAAAATTCAGAAGCTTTGTGTAATAGTCCATTTAGTCAGAGGAATTCGTAGTTGTCTTGGCTATTTGACACTGAT